CCTCCCTCCCCCCTCCCTCCCTCCCTTCCTGTCTATGTCTCCCTTGTTCTTTCCTCTGGAACTTTCTACTCTGTGATTACTCCCAGCCAGCAGCCTGGCTGCATGGGTTGGCCAGACAGAAGCCAGATCTCAGCTGCATAGCTCAGGAAGCTGACGTCACAGTTTCCCCATCACCAACTTGCATGTACACACACACACACACACACACACACACACACACACCCCTGCACCCCTCTTCTTTCCTTGCTTTATTATAGATGAGAATCTAATTCATGACAGCAGGAGCCATTATTCATGGGGGTGTGGTGAGGTAAGGGATGTCGGGAACAAAATGCAAATTAGGCAAGGTGGGGTGGAAGAGAGCTGCAGGCAAGAGAAAAATTCATGAGCAGTTATGAGTGTGGGTGTGCTGGGAGTGGGCAGGGTGGACCTCAGAGGTTTAGAAGCTGCTCCTGAAAGAAGGAGCCTCTGTCTCCACACAGGCACCTACCTGACACATGAGGCAAAAGGCTCTGATGACGCCCCGGACGCGGACACAGCTATCATCAACGCAGAAGGCGGGCAGTCAGGCGGGGATGACAAGAAGGAATATTTCATCTAGGGGCGTCTGTCCACCTCGTGCGCCCCCCAGGGGCCTCCGTGGGGACTGCTGGGGCCATCATCAGCCCAGACTTGTACAGAGCGACCCCAGGGCCGCCCCTCCCGCTTGCTCCCCAGCCCACCCACCCCCCTGTACAGAATGTCTGCTTGGGTGCGGTTTTGTACTGGTTTGGAATGGGGAGGGAGGAGGGCGGGGGGGAGGGGAGGGCCACCCTCAGCCCTTTCCGTGGCTTCTCTGCGTTTGGGTTATTATTATTTTTGTAACAATCCCAAATCAAATCCGTCTCCAGGCTGGATAGGCAGGCGCCCTGGGGTAAAGAAAGAAAGAAAGAAAGAAAAGAAAAAAAAAAAAAACTTTGTTAGGAGGAACATGAAGCTGCAGGGGTAAGAGATGGGTGAGGAGCAGGGCTGGTTTGCAGGAAGGGGCTCTCCCAGCCCTTCCATTTATGTTTCCCCCACCACAGAGCAGCTCCCCTGACTTCTCCTGAAACCCCAAAACCGAAGGGTTGTGAGCAGAGACGAGCAGTGGCTTTTCACTGCTAGCTACACACTTCGAACTGTGGACAGGGAGACAGGTGTCATACTGGCGCCTCCTTCTATCAGAATGGGACAGGGCAAACGGGAGAGTCCCAGGAAAGACGTAACCTGCACAGGGCATGCAGCCAAGGTGGGGACCCAGGGCTCCAGCAGGGGGAGGATGTGGGTCCCCTGGAAGGAGTTTAGATTTGGAGAGAAAGGATAGTGGATATGACTCTTTCCACCCATGGCCTCCAGAATGAACGAAGCCAGGCCATTTTCACAGGAGCTGCCCTGGGGAACGGCAGAGCCCGGCCGCCCCTCCTAGCTCCAGCAGATGTGGGAGAGGTGCTGCTCCGGGGCCTGAACTGTGTCTGCTTTCCCTGCCGCCGAGGGGCCCCTCACTCCTACCCAAGACCCTCGGACTGTTGCACGGCAACCACTCCTCTCATGGCATTGCTCAGCAACTCTTCCTCCAACTTGTGCCACCTGCCGCTCCCCCTCCACCCCCCATGCCAGCCCTCTGTCCTTCCTCCCTCAGCAGCCAGGCAGACATAACAACAACAAAAATACTAAAAGGAGCTTCACTGCACTGAGCTGTTTCCTGCCCAAACTAAGGGAATAATGTGAACTCTGTGCGTGCTTTGTGTGTGTGTGTGTGTGTGTGTGTACGTGTACATGTGTGCATATGTGCAAGTGTTGTGTGTGTATGTACGTGTGTCTGTGGGTAAGAAACAGAGAGTTGATTAAAGAGGAGGGTCAAGGACCAAGGATCCCGGGCAGGAGGATGGGTTCACAGACATATGACAGAGTGGAAGATTCCTAGTCAGGGTTCATACCTCACCTGAGATGTCACTCCATGCCACCCTCAAGACCCATCTTAGAGAAAGGAGTCCCAGGATGCATTTTCACCTAGGTGTACATTTCATCTCTCCCTGAAACATACGGCACTCAGCCCTCCCCCGACTTCCCGCCTCCACACCACGGAGCCGGTGCCACCGCCTTTGCTATGCACCCCTCAGGCCTCTCCCTGGCACTGACCCTGGGATGCCCATCGTCTGTACCTGGGGACGGCTGGGTCCCCATCCCTGCTTTTGGTTTTCTGTCTTCCTTCTTATGACAAAGCTGGTTGCCATGGAGATGAGGGTGTTCAGCCTCCCCATCCCACCACCGGCCTGCCCACCTCAGATCCTGGATGCTCTTGGCATCGCGCTCCCCTGCTCCAGCATGTCCTCCCTGCTCTTACAATGGGCATGCGAAACAGGGCAGCTGCAGGCCAGCAGCTCTGCCCACTCCTTCAGTTCAGGTAAATACCCTTGAGAATCTTCCAGCCCCCCCCCCACCCGGATAGGGCCCTGGATCCCACAGGCCGCCCCTCATCTAAGCCAGGGCCTCCTCCTCTTGCAACAGCAAGGGAGCCTTGGGCCTTAGGCCTGTTAGGCTCCTTGTCTCCCAGCACCCGCTTTTGGGAAAAAGACTTCCTCTTTGAGCTGAACCACTCTGTCCATATTACACAGAAGCCATATTTGTATGGGGGGGGCGGGGGGGAGAGGGCCGTTGTGCTGTGTGTGTCTGTCCATGGGTGGGGGTGGGGGAAGGGAGCAGGGATCGTGTATCTTTATAATCTTTCTAACTCTCCTGTGCTAATCTCAGAGGGGCCACCCTCAATATATCTGGATTATTGGTGTCGTTCGGCTGCCTCCTTTCTGCTGCTCTTACTGCTGCCAGGCTGCGTGTACATAGGGGCCATTCCAGTATCCCTGGCATGGGCAGGTTGCAGGATGCTGCTGTGTCCTTGTCCTGCCACCCTTCCATGAGGGCTTAAATGTCTCCACTCCTTTTCGCTGGGTCCTTGCTTTCCGGAGAGGGTTTTGGGTGGAGCAACTGATGGCCCCATCTGTCAGTCAGTGCTGAAAGATGCTGAGATGGAAGCGGTGACACCAAGACTGTCCAGGAAAGAGAGCATCACTAGGCCTTTGCCAGTCTCACTTTTCAACCTTATTCATGCTGAAGCTGGATCCTGAGCTGGTGTCCTGGGAAAGAAGAGGGAATTTCTACAAGGTACTTATCCTTTTGTACCTGGATTGGGGGTGCTGAGTGTCCCAGGTACCCCTGTGTGCATGGGACATAAAAGGTCTGCAGAGTTGGGGTCAAAGCATCACGTGTTTTATTGAAGGGAAGAAGGGGTCCCCTCTCCTACTCTACCTCATTGTGGCCACGCAGACCCTGAGCTCATCTCTTCCCAAGTCCAGGATACCTCTCTGCAGCCAAGGAAACGAAACACAAGTGGGGGGAAGGATGGCCTCAGCTGAGACCCTGGGAAAGAAGCAGGGGTGTGGCCCCTGAGGGCAGAGCCATAGGCTCTGGAGGCCTGCAGGACAGTTGTCCACATCTGAAGGGCTGGTACTAGGTGCTGTCCTTTGCTGGCCAGGACACTAGCAGCTCCTCCCCATCTCCTCAGAAACTTCCCATGTTGCTAAGACGCCAGGCCAATGAAACAGCTGCAGCGCCTTTATGTCCCACAACAGAAATATGAATAGAGATTACCTCATAGGCAACAGTCCCATTTTAAAGTATGCCATCCCAGGATCCCCCAGAGCCTGCTTCAATGTGTCAGACCATGTGTTCTGCTCAGTATGGGAAATGCATTCACTGGGCCCATAGGTGGTGAGGCAAATGCCCAATCGCTCCCTGAAGCAGCATCACTTGGCAGACTTGACAGGTCCCTAAGCCCTGCCGCCTTCTCTCACGGAACCACCCATAATTCTAGATAGCGCCATACACACCAACACCACCTGGTGCCAGACAGTTACATGTGGGTCTACTGATACACGACACAGGCACACAGATAAACAGGTCTGTGGTCCCTGCTTTCATATATACATGGAGCTCCTGCCAGGGTGCAGAGCTGAACACATCTTCCCTCCCAATCCACGTGGGCCTTTTGACCTCCTTGCTTGGATCCTGTTCAAAGGAATGGGGAAAGTCAGAGTCATCAGCTGCCTTTTCACCTCCACTTCCCAGCACCTCCCTTATCTCTCCCTCACCAGTCACCTCTGGCCCCTCTTCCTTCCTCACACTTGCAAAGCCCTCTTTTGCTGGAAAGTACTGGTTTCTTCCCTTTCCATCTTCGGGAAAATGCCTGCTGTCTGCTCCTCCTTGCTGTGTTCCTTTCCTAAGATCCTCCTGACTTGAGTCAAGTTTCATCTCAAAACAGGAAGCCCCAGGGTTGGTGCCCCAGGCTGTCCTGAGGCTAGGGGAGGCAGTGGCTGTGGGGTAGGGCTTCCTGAGTGCTGCCTCATGGCCCTGCCCAGAAGCCAAGGGCTTCATTAGTCCTCCAAGCTTATCAAGGAGCCACAGCTGTTGACGGAGCTGCCAGTCCTCTCTCCATTTGCCCTGCACCACAGCGCCATGGGGAACTGCCTGAACCAGGTGAGTGTGGGGCTGCGCTCCACAGCCCCTCACTTCTTTGCCCCAGGGTGCTCCTTCGGTTTGCTCCTCAGTTTGGGTCTTTATACTTCTCCCTTTTCTCCTTATCTCTCACATCTTCCCTTCCCTGTCCCCACATTCAAAAATCTCTTTCCCTTCTCTCCTCTTTACTCAAGTCTCCTGCCCTGTCCTTTCCCTGTCCTCCTCCTTTCAGCCAGTTCTAGGCAGATCCCTTCTTAAGCTGCCCTGTTCCCCAGCTCCTCCCTGGCTTGCCCCGTGCTCCATGCTGCTCCAGCTCCTCCTCAGTCTCCCTTCTCTCTCCTTCCCCACCATCCCATTGTGTCTGTGCCTTCTCATGTCCTCCCAGCTCTCCCTCTGTCCCCTCTCCTGCCCTCCCTGGGGTCCAGGAGGTCAGTAGATGCTCTGACTGCCCCCTGTGGCTGCCTCCAGGTAAAGCCTTCCTTTTCCCCGGACAAGAATGGAAGTCTGTTGGATCTTACAGACTATCAGTGGAATTATTCCTCCGGTGAGAATACCAGCTATGCATCCTTGGAAGACTACAGCTTTCTGGACGCTGCTGCCCCCTGCCACTCCTGTAACCTGCTGGACGACTCCTCGTTGCCCTTCTTTATCCTCTGCAGTGTCCTGGGTGTCCTGGGCAGTGGTGCTTTCCTCTTTGGGCTACTTAGACCTCTCTTCTCCTGGCAGCTCTGTCCAGCCTGGCCTTTCCTGGCCCAGATGGCTGTAGCAAGTGGCCTCTTCAGCATTGCAGTGCCCATCCTGGCACCAGGGCTAACTAGTCCCCAGAGCACTATCTTATGCCACCTGGGCTACTGGGTCTCGTACAGCTCAGCCTTTGCTCAGGCTCTGCTGATAGAGTGCCATGCCTGCCTGGGCCCCAAACTGTGCACAGACCAGATCCCAGGCCTCACCCTGGGGCTCACTATAGGACTTTGGGGAGTGGCTGCCCTATTAGGGTTACCAGTCACCCTTGCCAGCGACACATCTCTGGGACCCTGCACCCTGTCCTACAGCAGGGGCCTGGGTGCTCTACGGTCCACTCATGTCATGGCCTGTTTTGCCATCTTCAGCTTGTTGCCCCTGAGTTTGTTAGGAGCCAAGGGACTGAAGAAGGCACTGGGAAAGGGTCCAGGCCCCTGGGTTAACATCCTGTGGGTGTGGTTCATTTTCTGGTGGCCTCATGGAGTGATTCTGGGGTTTGACTCCCTCGTAAGAGCCAAAGTCTTACTGTTGCCAACATGTCTGGCCCAGCGCACTCTGGATCTGGTGCTGGACCTGGCCGAAGCACTGGCCATGTTGCACTGTGTGGCTACCCCTCCTCTCCTGGCCCTGTTCTTCCACCGAGCCACAAAGCCTCCCTTTCCTTCCCTGCCCCACTCTGCAGGACAATCTTCTCACCTGGACAATGTTGGAAGCAAAACCTAGCACTCCTCCCACGTGTTGACCTGAAGTAAAGTCTATACTGCTTCAATAAAGTGGATGATATCTTATTTTGTTTGAGGATGAGCAAAAGAGGCAGGATCGTGGAGAGAGAAAGAGGTTTCATACTAGCTTCCAGCTGGCCTCTGCTTTTCAGGATGACCTCCAAGGGAAAGTGGATACCTTACAAAAATCCTTGGGGCACACAGATGTTCTCTGAGGTGTGGGGATACTGACTTCTTCAGGTTGGAGATAAGAGGGCCCTTTTGCACAGTGCAGAAACTAGAAGAGCAGGCTTCTTAAAAGTTATTAGAGAAGAGAGACCATGACACAAAGCAAACAGGGTCAGAGTAGAAACTGAGAAAGAGAGAGAGAGAGAGAGAGAGAGAGAGAGAGAGAGAGAGAGAGAGAGAGAGAGGAATGACCAAAAACCCAAAGCAATAGTATCTCCCTCTGTGTGACCTGTCCAGCCACCCTAACCCTATGCCCACCTTCTCTTCTTTTTGAGTTTATTTAGAGATCTGGGTTTTGTGAGCAAGTTGGAGGAATCATTTGTGGAATCATTCCTCAGTCCAGAACACAGACCAAGATAATTCAGAAAGCAGTTTCCTATAAATCAGCTTTCACAGGTTCACTCCTCGGCATGACCTTGGATTCCTCTGTGTGTGTGTGTGTGTGTGTGTGTGTGTGCCTCTGTGTGTGTTTGTGCATGTGTGTGTGTTCATACATTTGCATGTGCATCTGTCTTTCAATGTTAAAACCCATGTCCCTGTTAGTTGCATGCATGTAGTGATAGGTGCTTGTAAGTGTAGGTCAGTATCTGAACTACACAGAAGTGTGTGTGTGTATCCTGACCTTCCTCAATGCCCCACTCCTTACTGAATTTTGCACCCACCCCTATTCTCAGGATAGGGAAGCAAGGTTGATGATTCACTCCTGACCCAAATGAAGTTTTTTAACCCTGCTTTTTTTTTTTTTTGTATTTTTTAGGGAAGGGTCTACAGGATGTTCAGAGTCTCACTACTCTCAGACTTTTAATGATCTGCCTGGTCACAGCCTCCCAAGAGCTGGGATTACAGGCTTGTGCCACCACACCCAGTCTCAATTGCTATCTCAGGGGACCCTGGGGGTGGGGCAGGCACCACAGGTCCTGGGGATCGAATCCCTGGCCCCTGCACCTGCTTACAGGTGCTTTAATCCACTGAGTGGTTTGGCTGCCCCTTAATCCTGCTCTTGAGGTCCATTTTTTTTCTGTGTAGGACATGTTGAAGGAAGCAAGGTCAAGAAGTTGTAACAGGTGAAGAAACTTAAAGAGGGAGCACCTAATATGGTTCATCTCCTACCTGGAATTTCTCAGATTTACCTTTCAGGCCCTAGGTGGTGAAATCTTTCTTCCTCACAGGAAACTTTCCTTCTGCTTCCCACATTATACCCTAATATACTGGGCACCTTCTTTCCCAAAGGATTTTCTGGCTGCCTGAGCATGACCATGAAAATTTTTCCTCAGCTCCTCCCCTGCTGAATTTATGCTATGATTGAGTCTCTCCGTCCATGTGGGGCACAACCTCTGGGGTCAACAAAAAGCCCTACGCAGAAAGGTCACAGGAGTTTCCCCTTCCAACCTAACTTAGGCTGGGAAAGCTTGATCAAGTGCTTAGCATCAGGTTATGGTCATTTTTCAAATATGTGCTCTCCCTAGCATCTTCCTACAGTGAGTCTGCATGACTCAGTGGGCTTTGGGGGTAAATAGGAGTATGCTGGAGGGCACAGAGATGACTTACAATATCTTAGGCAGGAAGATGCAAAAGGCTGTTCTGGGTGGGTGCATGACAAAGCCTCTAAATCTCCCACCTCCTGTCTCTTAGCAACCACCAGGTTCAGCTTCTGATTGGTGCATCGCAAACTGGAAGGCGGGACTTAGGAAAGATTGAGTTGAGGGAGACATTCTGAAACAGAAA